TTTCCATGGCTTCTCCAGACCCTTTCATGTCTGTCACATGTGCTCAGGGTGAACCTGCTCTCATCTGTGAAAAGCACAGGGTGCCAATGGCGGACCTGCCAATTCTGGTGTTCAATGGCAAATGCCAATCGAGCTCTATGGTGCGGGGCAATGAGCACAGGGACCACTAGAGGACGTTGGGCCCTCAGACCACCCTCATGAAGTCTGTTTCTGATTGTTTGGTTAGAGACATTCACACCAGTGGTCTGCTGGAGGTCATTTTGTAGGGCTCTTGCAGTGCTCATCCTGTTCCTCTTTGCACAAAGAAGCAGATACAAGTCCTGCTGATGGGTTAAGAACCTTCTACGGCCCTGTCCAGCTCTCCTAGAGTAACTGCCTGTCTCCTGGAATCTCCTCCATGCTCTTGAGACTGTGTTGGGAGACACAGTGTCAAGGTCCTACCTTTTCCCAGAGGTTATGTTACTCCATGTGCTGGCATCCATCTTGGATTTATACTGAGCATGGTGGGAAGCTTTTATGCCTTCAGGTCTCTGAGGTCCATCCCCCAGAGGGGTGTGGCTGAGTACATATAAGCCTGTGATCCGCACATGCTCTTTGCACTTGTGTCTTGTGTCTTTGTCTTGCTACAGCTCTGTGTATATGCTCGTGACTCTTCTGGTATTTGACTCGGCTTGTGACTAGACCATTCTCTGTGTTTTCCTTCGATCTGACCTTCCGTTGCTGAACCCGGCCCGTGACCTGTGATTCTCTGTCTACTGTTCTGTACTGTTTTGTCCCGTTGTTGTTGACCCAGCTTGCCTGACTACGCTATTGTCATTCTCACCAGCTACACGCCATTGGCGGCGGCCATTACTGCAGCCGGGGTGTCTCGGGGGCCGCGACCTGGTTCCTGGCTGCGTCAAGTCCATCCCCACCATCAGGGGCCCTGGTGAAGGGCAGCTTGGGACTTAGACTCCGCGCCCTGAGGGACTTCGGTCTGTTGGTGGTGGTTGTCGTCAGCCAGTGCATTACCCTGCCACTAGGCCTACCTGTCCGTTCCACAGCCCTGCCCTGACACACAGCAAACCTGTCAATGACAGGTATTGATATGCCATCCTAGAGGAGTTGGATTGCCTGCCTGTTAACATATAAAAAGTAATTTTGACATATATTTTTACATATATTTGTAAATGCATTCCAAAAATGTAGATTTGTATTTTTAAAGACATACAGTATATTTGAAATGTAGCTTTAAAAATATTTTTCATATATTTTGTAGTAAAAACGCATTTCAGCATGCAGGATATATGTATATATATATATATATATACATACACAGTATATATATATATATGATATGTATGATCCAGAGGCGGCATGGGAGAAATTCATGTGGTCAGATGAGACCAAAGTAGAACTTTTTGGTCTAAACTTCACTCGTCGTGTTTGGAGGAAAAAGAAGGATGAGTTGCATCCCAAGAACACCATCCAGATGGTCATTGGCAAACTTCAGACGGGCCTGGACATGTGATGATTTGAGCAGGGGAACCTTCCGTGCAATGCAAGATTTGAAACCATGACGGTGTAGTGTTCTACCGACAGTGACCTCTGAAACTGTGGTCCCAGCTCTCTTCATGTCATTGACCAGCTCCTCCCTTGTAGTTCTGGGCTGATTTCTCACCTTTCTTATCATCAGTGATACCCCACGAGGTGAGATCTTGCATGGAGCCCCAGTCCGAGGGAGACTGACAGTCGTCTTTAGCTTCTTCCATTTTCTAACAATTGCTCCAACAGTTGATCTATTTTCACCAAGCTGCTTGGCAATTGCCCCGTAACCCTTTCCAGCCTTGTGGAGGTCCACAATTGTGTCTTTTGACAGCTCTTTAGTCTTGCCCATGGTAGTAGTTGGCGTCTGACTGACTGTGGGGTGGACAGGTGTCTTTAAAGCGCTCAGACAGGTGCTACTAAGTTAGATTAATGAGTGGAGTAGAGGTGGACTTTTTAAAGGCACAGTAACAGGTCTTTGAGAGCCAGAATTCTTGCTGTTTCTTAGGTGTTCAAATACTTATGTTCAGCAGTGCAAGACAAATAAATTCTTTAAAAATCATACAATGTGATTTCCTGAATTCATTTTTTTAAATTCTGTCTCTCAGAGTGGGAATGCACCTACAATGTGAATTTCAGACCCCTCCATGATTTCTAAGTGGGAGAACTTGCAAAATTGCAGGGTGTTCAAATACTTCTGTTCCTCACTGTATATATATATATTTATTCAAATATATTGAATATGGCCAAAATTGTACCATTTCAAATATATGTCAATATATTTGGGAAGAACATTTTTAAATATATTTCAAATATATTTTTCTTCCATGTGGGTTGCGGCCCACCCCAGAGTGGACGGACGCCTAATCAGAGAGATGACTGCTGCTGTGTTACTGGGCTCGGTGAGAGGGCATTGCAGCCAATACTTGTTGCTACCACTAGAGCCTGAACCTTTAGGAATTACCTAAACAGCTACCTTATACCTTATTACTGCCCTTAGGCCTTGTTGACTATCTCCAAGTGTGCCAATGATTTGTGCAGTGGTTTTTCAAATGCAATTTATTTGGAAAAAATATACTCTAATGAATTTTAATGCACAAAAAACACAATATAATACCCAATTGTTTGGTATAAGATGATCATATGCTGAGTAAATAGATACAAAATATGTCACATTTTAAAATTGAGCATTTACCTTTCTTTTTTTTGGAGTATTACCAATACCTATATAAGATCAACCTAGCTAACTTGACTGGTATTTTCAAATATTCTAATTCCATAAGTTCTAATAGTTATTCTCTCTCCTTCCCTGTCCCCTTTCCCCCCTAAACTCTCCGTCCCTCCACCCTCTTCCCCCCTCCCCCTCTCTCTTTCCCTCCCCCCCAACTTAAAATCAATAAAAATGAGTTGAATATATAAAATTGAGCACACTAGTGGAATGGCGACAAACTGTGGTACCTAAAATCCTACACAGGTGACTCTTTAAAATCCTTTACAGGTTACCAGTTTGGAGTTAAACAGAAGGTCTGGTGCTATAATTATTGCTTTCACTATAAGGTTTGCAGCAATACCTCATGTGTGGTGCAAACATCATTAATATATGAGTGTGCAACCTACGTATGCGTCTGTCTTTGTGCATGAGGACTGGGGATGGGGGTGCTTTAACCACTTGCCCTCCAGAAGATTTACCCCCCTTCTTGACCAGGCCATATTTTGCGTTATGGGGCTACGTTACATTAACTGACAATTGCGCTGTCATGCAAAGCTGCACCCAAATTAAATTTACATCCTTTTTTTCCCATAAATAAAGCTTTCTTTCGGTGACATTTGATCACCTATTTTTTGCGCTATAGAAAAAAAAGACCGACAATTTTGAGAAAAAAACAATTTTTGACTTGTTGCTATTTAACCACTTGCCCTCCTGAGGATTTACCCCCCTTAATGACCAGGCCTCTTTTTGCTACTTGGCGCTGCACTAATTCAACTGATATTTGCGCGGTCATGCAATGCTGCAGCCAAACGAAATTTACGTCCTTTTTTTCACACAAATAGAGCTTTCTTTCGGTGTAATTTGATCACCTGTGCGCTTTTTATTTTTCACGCTATAAACAAAAAAAGGCCAAAAATTTTGAAGAAAAACAATATTTTTATTTTCAGCTATAAAAAATATATAGTAAACTCAAAGTTGGTTATAAATTTAGGCCAAAATGTATTCTGCTACATGTTTTTGGTAAAAAAAAAAAATCCCAATAAGTGTATATTGATTGCTTTTTGTGGAAGTTATAGCGTCTACAAACTATGGTATAAATACTGCAATATACAGCACTGCGCTAGTTTAACGGACAATTGCGCGGTCATGCAATATGGTACATAAATGAAATTTACATTCTTTTTTTCCCCACAAATTGAGTTTTCTTTCGGTGGTATTTGATCTCCTGTGCGCTTTTTATTTTTTGCGCTATAAAAAAAAAGGCTGACAATTTTGAGGAAAAAAAACAATATTTTGGATTTTTTGCTATAAAACATGTCCAGTAAAAAAAAAATGCAAAAATCAAATTTAGTCATAAATTTCTGCCAAAATGCATTCTGCGACATGTCTTTGCTAAAAAAAAAAAAACCCAATACGTGTAAATTAATTGGTTTACGTGAAAGTTATAGCGTTTACAAATGGCGGGAAAGATACTGGGTTTTTTTTATACTAATAATGGCGGCGATCAGCGAATTATGGCGGCGATCAGGGACTTATGGCAGCGACCAGCGACTTATGGCGGGACTGCAGGACTGCGGCGGACATTCTGACATTGGGGGGTACTGACTTGGGGTCACTGACATCCCCAAAAACACTAATACAGTGATCAGTGCAAAAAAAAAAAAAACCTGACACTGTACTAATGGCAATGGGGAGGAAGGGGTTAACTTTATTTTGCAGGGAAGGGTTATAGAAGTGAAGGGAGTGTTTTACTAGGGGGCGGGGGTGTGTACTGGGCGGGACAAGGCTGATTGAGAAAGTGAAACTATTCTTTCTCGATCAGCTCATCCTCCAGCTGACAGAGAGGTGACAGACAGCACAGCTACTGCAGCTGTGCTCTCTGTCACCGTTTACCGCCGATCGCCGGGACATAGCCGCTAACGAGCGGCTGTAACCCGGCAACTGACATCTGCGGCGGTGATCCACAGGACAATAGGGGGCGGCAGCGCGCCTCGCGCGTGCCCCCTATTTGTTTACAAAACACATGTTTTAAAACGTGGTTTTGCCTGTGAGTGCCGCCGTATATGTACAGTGGCTGGGCGGCATGCGGTTAACATGTCCAGTAAAAAAAATTTAAACAATCAAATTTCATTGTCAATTTAGGCCAAAATGTTTTCTGCTGCATGTCTTTGCTAAAAAAAATCCCCATACGTGTAGATTAATTGTTTACGTGAAAGTTATAACGTTTACAAATGGCGGTATATATACTGGGATTTTAATTTTTTTTTTTATTTTTACTTGTAATGGCAGTGATCAGCGACTTATAGTAGGAATGTGGGACTGCGGCAGGCATTCTGACACTGGGGGAAACTGACTTGTTGTCACTGACATCCCCAGTGACATCAATACAGTGATCAGTGCTAATAAAAAGCAATGACACTGTACTAATGGCACTGGGCATGAAGGGGTTAATATGAGAGGCGATCAAAGGGTTAACTGTGTGATATGCACTGTTTTACTGTGGGCTGTGTGTGCTTTCCACTGTAAGCACACTGATTTGTATGGCTCTGCTATGCACAGCCATGCAAAGCAGTGTGCAGGAGCTGACAGGGGAGAGAACTGTATTGTTTACATACAGTTCTCTTCCTCTGTCAGTAATGCTCCTCGATCACCAGGTTCCGGCAAGCAATCACCGGCTAATACCCAGCAATAGACAGCTGGAGTCGCTAATGGTGGTGCGGGTAGGGAGAGCGCACCCCCCTACCTGGAAATGCAAAATCACATATATATATACGTGATTTTGCACACACCCCTGCCACCCTGTAGCACTATAAGTGGTTAAAATTATTATTTCATTTTATTATTTATTTTTATATTTACACTGTCTCTTTATTTGTTTTATAAACTTTATTGCTATCACAAAGTGTGCACAACATCCCTTCTGATAGCATAGACACAGACAGGCACTCTTTACGGAGTGTACTGGGGTCTATTAGACCACGCATTCCTCCTCTGCCCTTCAAAGCATCAGATCAAACCAATGTTTCTTAGTCTATAGAGATGAATCGGGATATTCTGGTCCTCGATCACTTCTAAGGGCAATCAGCGAAACCGGCTCCCTGGTGGGATGGGAGAGCCCAGGAAGGTGGCCTGTGAAAGTGATCCTGTGGCTAATTAGCCACTTGGATTGCTTTTAGTTCTCAGCATCGCTGGCTGAAAAGCAGCCATGACCCTGGTATAACTACTGAAACTCAAGGATGTCCTTGGAAGGAAAGTGGGTATACTTGTGTCTATATGTGCTTGCAGTGATTTTTTATTCAACCACGTGTGTCAGAGGGGCCGAGGTATTTCTTGGAGTCGAGGCGTGGAACAAAGAACCCAAAATTACCAAGTGGCTCCTTCGGGAGTAGCGCTATACATACGTAGTATATATTTAGTTAGAGTAAAGCTCTAAATACACAATTGAAAGTGTTTAGTTAACTAAGCTCACTGTGGACTTCAGCACATCTCCCCTATGTAACTGAGAAGAGGGGGAGGTGTTCTGTTACCCAAAATATTCCCTGTCCCAGGGTGACAATGCAGCACCAGTACAATGACTACAGGGGAACACGCCTGAGAAAAAAAGTAAAATAAATGCAGTTACCATAGCTAAGAATTTATAAACTGCAATATATGACATTTTTGTTCTTGGGATTAGATAAAACCTTAAAGTATTGCTAAACCCAGGACCCTGCATTCACTATATCCAGTATCCCACAGTACACAGAACATGGAAATGTAATTATTTTAGTAAAAATAAACTGCTAAATACCTTTTCTCATCAGCAGTATATAGCAGTCTTGTGACTTCTATCAGTGTCCAGCAGAGCACTGGTTAAAGCTTGTAGGAGGCGTTTTCATTCTCCCTCTGATTGTCCAATGAGGCTGCAGGACCCCTGACCCTCTGTCTGAACATCATTGATTGGCCCTGTGCAAAAAAACTCTCTAGCAATATACACAAACTGAGCATGTGCAGCTTGCTCCCAAGGCTCTGTTCTATCGGCAGAAGGATTGAGGAGAGTAGCAGAGAAGAAGGATCAAACAGCCTTTTTATACAATACAGCGGATTAACCCCTTAGGTTCCACAGTGAGTATAACAAGCATGCTTAATTACATATACAATAATATAAATTACGGTATCCCCTCCAGTAGCTAATCCAAAAACTCCCTTATAGCATATAAGTGCACTTTACCTCAAAAGTGTAATAATCTATCAACATTAATATGCTAATTCTACTAAATATATAAATCCCCAATTATATCACAAAAATCCATACAATAAATCAAACGATAAAAAAAAAAAAAAAAAAACATCGAAAGATATAATAATGTCTTTCCAAAAAATATATATAGTCACTCAGTGAACAATTCCAAACCACAATCTTCATATCAAGCCTTCCAAATGGCTCCTATGGCCAAAAAGAAAACCTCAAAAAGAAAAGAAAAATCACATAGTGCATTATCTTTGATAACCCTTTAAATAATACACACTAAATAAATTAATGTGATAAAAAACGCAAAAAACCATGCGTGATCACTAATTCATACATGAATTCATGAATACAGACAGGAAGTTATCTGGAGTATAGACAGGAAGTTCCATGTGGTACGAAGCAGAGAGGAGACATTGCTGGAAGTGGCAACAGAGGAGATGGATGGTGAATATGGAAACTGCTGTATTCAGATGACTTCTTGAGCATATCGCTAAGGCTGTGATGATATCCTAGAAGGATCTCCTTGGTGGAGCATTATGTGCAATTATCCTGTCCAGGAGGTTATAAGGCGTATTATTTTCATTTTTTGGTAAGGGTATTCACTCCTTACACTTTAGAAGTGAACACAGTTGCTTCACGTGTTGTTGATTTAGATTGATATTTTTTCACTTTGATTGATTCACTGTCACGCTTTTGACACATTCACTTTATCACTATTAGTGATCACGCATGGTTTTTTGCTTTTTTTATCACATTAATTTATTTAGTGTGTATTTTTTAAAGGGTTATCAAAGATAATGCACTATGTGATTTTTCTTTTCTTTTTGAGGTTTTCCTTTTGGCCATAGGAGCCATTTGGAAGGCTTGATACAAAGATTGTGGTTTGGAATTGTTCACTGAGTGACTATATATATTTTTTGGAAGGACATTTATTATATCTTTGGACGTTTTTTTTTTTTCCATTTGATTTATTATATGAATTTGTGTGATATAATTGGGGATTTATATACAGTATTTAGTATAATTAGCATATTAATATTGATAATTGCATATACAGACTGATTCTACTTTTGTGGGTTTAGTAACACATTAAGCTACATAACCCCATTTATCTACATATACAGTAGTAGTTGGCATAATTTTTATTTTTATATATTAGCTATCCAGAATATCCAGGAAATTGCTACACATTTTTATTAATTCTAAAGAGCATCTGGTAGCATTAAACACCTGTTTTCTGATTAAATAGGTTCTTTTCACTTTTACTCCATACTTTCTATCGCTTTTGATTGCTAAAATGCATTATTTACCCACAAGAGGTGGAATACATCGACGCCTGCTTTATTAAAATCAATAATGACATGGAAAAAGGAGCAGAAGTTTAAACTTGTTCTAATGAAGCCAGAAAGGACCCCTCGAGAGCGAGAAGGTTTAAAATAAATGTACCTATATGAGCAGAATTGAGAATCAATATGCAGATAGAGGGTCAATAATGCAGCTGCACAGAACAGAAAATAAGCTGCTAATTCTTACACCTGCCTTGCTTTACATTAATACAGAGAATATGATAACAGGTAAGGGAATGCTAGCATGATTTAGAAAATTAATAGACAACAGGTCACTGCAGAAATGTACTCAGATCTCTAATATAATTCAGTCAAATAAACATCTAAATATACACAACTTTAAGCTTTGCATGAAAAATACAATGCTTTTTATCTGACAAACATGAAAGAAGAAAACCTTGGAGAATAAACCATCATTATTAAATTTTTTTTCTATCTGCTATTTAGTACAAGTTTTATCTATTTTATATACATGTTTTGTAAGTTAGGGTGTATTAAAGCAGTATTACAGCGCTATGCAGGGACCACTGGTTTTAACAGGCTCTCCCCCAAACAGTACAGAGGCCACTAGCAACCCAAGCAACATGCCATTCACTCCGGCCCCAATAAACAGTCTTTTTGTGATTTATTGCTGGTAAAATTGTAACAGGAGAGGGATTACATCAAGAAATACTCCAAAATGATTAGAAATTGGCTTGAAAGGACAATCTTCTCCTTAACAACTGTGAACATTGGACAGTCTAAGGCCTCAGAGCTGGGGACCATGATGCAAGTCTCTTTACCCGGCACCACTGCACAGCTATTGGTACCCATTGCAATCTCAGGAACTCAGCCAGTACAGGAGGGCACTCTTCTCTAAACTCACAGTCCAAGACACTGTTGAGGATGGGATATGGCTAGTATCTGAGACCCTATGAGAGCAGTCTCAGTCCAGCAACCTCTGGTACTTACACTCACTGGCTACTTTATTAGGTACACCTGTTCAATTGCTTGGTAACACAAATTGCTAATTAGCCAATCACATGCCAGCAAATCAATGCATTTAGGCATCTAGACATGGTGACAACGACTTCTGAAGTTCAAACTGAGCATCAGAATGGGGAAGAAAGGGGATTTAAGTGACTTTGAATGTGGCATGGTTGTTGGTGCCAGACAGGCTGGTCTGAGTATTTCAAAAACTACTGATCTACTGGGATATTTACGCACAACCATCTCTAGGGTTTACAGAGAATGTTCTGAAAAAGAGAAAATATTCAGTGAGTGGCAGTTGTGTGGAATAAAATGCCTTGATGATGTCAGAGGTCAGAGAAGAAAGGGCAGACACTTCAAAATGATAGAAAGGCAACAGTAACTCATGTCAATATGGACCAAACTCTCAGAGGAATGTTCCAACACCTTGTTGAATCTATGCCATGAAGAATTAACCGCTTCCCGACCGCCCTGTTACAGAAATACTGCTACAGGACAGCACAGGTGTGCACAATCACATATATATATATACATGATTTTGCATTCCGGGGTAGTGGGCTTGCGCAAGCTCCACCCACACCACCATTCGCGGCTGTGGCTGTCAATCACCGCATCCGCCAGTGATTACCAAGGATCTCCGACGGGGAGGAGAATTTTATAGTTTACTAACAGTTCTCCTCCCTGTCAGCTCGGGCACACTGCTCTGGATGGCTGTGCTGCACAGTGAAGCACGCAGACACAGCCCCCTAGTAAAACATTCCCAGCACACAGTTAACCATTTGATTGCCCGACATGTTAACCCTTTCTTGCCCAGTGCCATTAGTACAGTGTCAGTGCTTTTGTTTTAGCACTGATCACCGTATTGGTGTCACTGGGGATGTCAGTGACACCAAGTCAGGCCCCCCCCCCCCCAGTGCCAGAATGTCTGCCGCAGTCCTGCTATAAGTCGCTCCCATTACTAATAAAAATTAAAAATAAAATAAATCCCAGTATATATACCGCCATTTGTAAACGCTATAACTTTCACGAAAAACCAATTAATTTACACATATTGAGATTTTTGTTAGCAAAGACATGTCGCAAACTACATTTTGGCCTCACTGAAAGAAAGCTCAATTTGTTGGAAAAAAAGGGAGTAAATTTCATTTGGGTGCAGCATTGCATGACCGCGCAGCGCCGTAACGCAAAAAATGGCCTGGTCAGGAAGGGGGGTA